TTACAACAGTATTATAGAAAATACAAGATAAAATTATAAATGCTCATTAGTTACTCATGCAAAATGACCATTTGATATTCTCTGGAGTGAGATATCTCTGTATTCATTTAACATTTGTTGAACTGGAAAGTTGAAATTATCGTCTTGAGTGAAGTCAGTCAAAAGGAAAGAGACGGACACAGGGAAGTCTCACTCATATGTGGGATATAGTGAAACTAATTAGGGGACAGAAGATAGCTGAAAGGGCAGGAAAGCATGCCCAACCTGCTAATGGTTCAGGGTTTGATCCATGGCTCTGCATAACCTCATGTGGCACTCAGCCCCACTGTGGAGCACCCGCTTAACATAACAACAAAAGAGGTTATAACAAGTGTCCAATCTGCAACAAAATCTGGGAACTAGTCTTCAGCAAAAGCTTCCTACAGTAGAGTGAAGGTGGAAAAATGGGATGAAGTAGAGTGGGGCACAGAAACAATGGTAGAAGGAAATGGACTCTCTAGGGGAGGATGTGGGGTTGGGATCTGTTATACATTTAACTTTGACATTAATATTGTAAATTACCACAGTTTCTAAAAATGATTTTTTTAAAAAAGAAATAAAACAAACACACACACACAAGAAATCATGAGATTGCTAAAAGGTATCAGCTCTCAAGAATAGTGTCCTAATTGAAATAAATACTAAACTTATCAACAAGATACTTTATAATCATAAGAGGGTTGAATAGAGAAAATGTGAAATTTTCTAGATAGAAATTATGATGAGACCTGAAGAAAGGAACATTTCTTAAAAGGGTGATGAGGGAATATCATTCTAAGAAGATAAGATATTAGCTTAGCAGAGAAATAAGTTTTAAGTGTAATTTTCCTCTATGGATATTTGGGGAAAATGTCCTTACAAGCAGAGGAAATAGCAAATGTAATGAGTAATACAGGCATGCACTTGGAATGTTTGATGAGCTACAAATAAAGGATGTTGTGACAAACAGGCTCTTATGATGTCTGCAAATTACTATTATGTGTTGAGCAAGTGGGAAATGCAAATTATCTGTACAGGGAGTAAGAGCAGCACTGATCTTAGGACAATATACAATCTAGAGTAAAGAATGCTTTACATGGCATACATCCAATTTGATTAGGTGAGTTCTTATTGCAATGAACATGAAATTGATCAGCAGCAGTTTGAGAATAGACTGCAGATAACAGTTTACATGAAAAAAAGGTGGTTATTTGTGATGTGATACCACCATCTGAATCCTATTTGTAGAATTCGCTGAAGACAATCATGAGTAACAATAATAACAGGGATACATAAAGTTTGAAGAATTAGTTTGTTTAGTTAGAAAGCAATTTGTTGTCTGTGATAAGAAAAACCTATTATATAATCATAGAGTCTGGCACAGTATAATGCAGGAGGCCAATTCCTATGATGTGAAACAAGAAAGCTGTTAAGTCAAAAGCCTCAAGATAAAAACATATTAAAATAGAAGATTATAAATTTGATTTAAATTTCTATAAAAGTTGAATAGTTGGATGTTTTGGCTATAACCATGTTTCTGAGATGTCTATATTGACAATTTTATCAGAATGGTCGGAGAAAATGACATGAAATGTAACTATAATTTATATTGTATCATTATAAAATAGTCTTTACTAAGAAAATCCATGTTGGAGATCATTGATGCTGTCCATAATTTACTTTCAGCATCTAAGTTTAATCATTATTCAAGAATTTATCTGTTATGTCATCATATAATTAAAAAATATATAGGTTGAATTTTTAGAAATAGGCAGGGTTAGAAGGAGCTGAGATATGAATACAGTTATTACAATCACCATCATTATATCCTATATAAACTGTACATTGAACATCTATATTTCAAAGCCACATTAGCTTCGAGTTCTGGCCAAGACTCACCATACCCGCTCACATTAACTCTGTTTCCATAGTCTCACTAGACTGTTTCAAACTGAAAATAAATTCACATTTCTCAGTGCCACCTGAAATAATTTACTCTGTATACAGCAATACTGTCATAATTTCCCACTTTTTGATAAGGAAAAGGAAAGATCTGACAATATTTTAAGGAACAGTAGAAAAGTGAATCTAGTTTTTTTTTTTTCAGTGGAGTTAAGTGAACCTGTCTTTGGAGCATACAAGATAAGCAGACAAGCACCTTACCCACTCTAGTATCAATCTGGCCTGTTTTTCTACTTCTTAAAAATGTTATAGCCTATGAATTCCCTCATCAGGCAAAAAGAAAACATTTTCCCTTAAAATTCTGTTATGTATTTAAAATTCTTTATATTGGGAACTTCCTAAAGGTCAAAAATTATATTAAGTGCTCAACATGCAGTTTGAAACAAAATTACAGATCCTACATGTGCAGATTTAAATTATAAATGAATATTTATGCTTTTTTTACAGTCTATACCAAAAGGCATTCATGATTACTTGTGAATTTATCTATTATGGTAAATTCTGTTATAATTTTATATTGCAATTTATATATTTTGATAGTAGATAATATTTTCTTCTGGCTCCTGGCTCTGAGCTCAGAGATCACTTGTGGCAGGACTCAGGGGATCATATGGATGCTGGTAACCAATTTGGGTCAACCATTATCCATGTGCAAGGCAAGCACCTTACCTTCTACAATATTTGTTTGCCCTCAAAAATAGAATGATATAAAGGAAGTAAACAAGATCAGTCATAGGAAATAATGTGGCAGAAAAGAGCAAAACCAGGTGCTCAGACAAGTAAATCAAAGCACCTATATTGAGTATATTTTTATTTGACTTACTTCCATCTCTTTCCTCCTGTTTATGGGCAATGCTTATTTCTTGTCTTGGCAGAGAGTTATTTCTTAAACTGATATTCTGTCAATAAACATTCTAACATTAAAATATCATCATATTAATGATGTCACAAGGTCAGCACAGAAGTTAAGCTTAGACCTTGTATAAACTACACACTGATACAATCCAATTGCTACATACAGCCTTCAGTGCTACAGGATGTAGCTCTGATGGGCTCATCAGCACTCTGGTGTGATTCTGATATTCCTCAGTTTAGCAGGGCCAGAGCAACACTGAATCCTTTGACTGTTGAAGTAAGCCCTCTGGTCCAGTTGTCTGTGCATTACACTGATTATCCCAACCACCTGACCACTGCTTGGAGGTTAGAACAAAATAATTACCTATGTAACTGGATTGACATATGAGTAGAAAACAGAGATGAGCATTAAGAAGGATATATGTTTTAATAATTATTCTAAACAAATTGACCATTCAGGTCAGAGAGTACAGTAGATACTGATTTGCATGCTTGCTTTGCATACAACCTATGTGGGTTATACCACTGGTACTGCATTTAGCCCTACCAAGAGTGATCCTCAAACACAGGACCAGTAGTGATAACTTATACACCAAGGTCTGACCCACAACTCTACCTCCCCTGTCTCAAAACAAAAAAGGTTTTATAAAAGACAGGAAATACAAGAAGAATCTAAAGAAAGATCCATTCCTGACATAAACTATAATGCACAATAAGTTTGTTGATAGATTTCCTCTCTTATCAGTTCGATATAACAGATTTACTACTTCATTGATCTATAGGATCACTGGATAGATTATACTATATGAAAGTCAACATGTTCAATTTTAGTCCCAATGGTTGGTTTATTCAACTCCTGTGACCTAAAGATCAGAATTCACATTCCAAGATTGATATTTATGTGACATGACTATTTGAAATCTGCTGGAAAATTTTTTGTACTGAAATTTATCTTATTACTTTTCACTTTTACTTTTACTTTACCTCTTTTGTTTTAGTTGTGTGGGCAGGGTACTAAGTGAAATTTACAGATGGTTATCCATGTATTTCAATTCCGTTTATACAGTGATATGAACCAGAAATAACCAATCTGAAAATATTGAACTTTCACTGCTTCACAGCTAAATAGTAAAAATAATACCATAAACTGCTAAATTATAAAGGTACTTACTTACCTCTATGAGGTTTGCCCAGTTCATTTCAGCACCTCATGTTCCTCCAAGTCGTACTACTCTGAGAACCAACAAAACTGCCAAGCCTTGCCCCCCTCCCCCACACACCCTCACAAAATCACCTTCTTGGGTTGGGTATTTGGCACAAAGTGTTGATGCTTCTAGCACTCCTATGTTTGATTCAAAATAATGGTTGACATATATGTATATATGTATATGTACACACACACATACATTCCGTTTTCACATGCCTGACCCAGGCTCAATCACTGGCACCCAGTATGACCACCTTGGCCAGATAGGAGTGAAACTCAAGCTCAGAACCAGGAGTATACCCTAAGAATCAGCAGATGTGGCTCCAGAAACTCAAAAGATATTACTTGGATGTCACAGTCCTTTGTATAATTCAACATGCTATATCAAAGTAATAAAGTTTTTGTTATCTTTTACTATTACATCAGATTAATAAGTACCACTTGGCATGACCCAGAATAAATGAACTTTTTAAATAAAATACAGTGTTTATTTTATTAATTTAATTTATACACTGTGTAAATAGTGATTGTAGGTACTCTAGAACTAATGTGAGAAAAGTACTCAATATTGCTGGGAAAGCCATTTGTGATAATGGAGTTTGATGCTAATAGAAAAATGATAATTTGGGAATAACATTTTAAATTTTACAGTGATTTGAATTTGGGAAAATAGAATTTGGATATATACTTCTTTGTCAGAAGTCAGTTATGAAATCAATGTTTTAAAGTAAGATAAGTTTTATGGACTCATTGTTTAAAGCATAACACAATATGTATTAGCAACTAAAAGGACATGGGATATCCTTTTATATTGCTGCTCACAATGGACTTTATATTTAAGAAAATTGTATTGGAGACATACAGAAGTAAATATTGGCTAGAAAGCTAGGAGAAACTGGATCAGATTGTTGATGACCAGAATCACATAATATTTTTTTCTTTTCTTTTTTTTTTGTAGGAGTCACAGATGAAAGCAATGAAAGAGACTATTCGACTCTGCCTGTCAACTGTCTTTAACCACAATTCACCTACTGATGTTAATATACCTCAAATAAATCCAACTCTGATGGCACTTTCAAATGCACCTACTGTCCCTGTGAACCCACAGGAACAGACACAGCCGCAGATAAAAATCCCTGTACGTATTTTACTTGCTCTTTGAAAAGTAAAATTAAATAATATACATCATAGGTCATCATATACCAGATTGGATCCAAGTAGGGTATCATATTTATTGAAAAATGAGTAAGTATAAAAAAGAATGTAACCACTTTCAAAGATCTGCATCATCACCTGAAAATGTTGGAAGATAGTTTTTTTATTTTTTAGAGAGACAACTGATACTCAGGAACTATAATGGAATTGTAAATTATTATATGTGTTGCTATAATAATAATTCAACTAAGTTGACTTAATACAATTTGCATTACTTTCTATGTGTAATTTTTGAACATTTTCTGTATCTTATAAAAGTTGACACATTAAAAATATAAGACCATAGATCTCCATATTACATTAGATTCACTTGGAAGATTTGTAAAAAATTCTGGCACTTGGGATTCACTCTTGGTCTATTAAGTCAAATTCTTCATGATTTAGCTTCAGTTATCAATATTTTTAAAGCTTCCCTGTGTGTTTTGAGAACTTAGGCAGTTCTCTCTTCAAATCTTCTCCCTGCCTCCCTCTACCATTTTGTATTATACACAGGGTGAATAGGTTTTCAGTGCTGTTTTTCTTTCAATCATCACAACTTGCAAGTTGAATATTCTACATTTAAATAAATTCTATAGTAATTATCCGAGAAAGAAATTTAGAGTCTGGCAGTATATTTGAGTAGGATAGGTCTATTATCACTTGTCTTTGGAACCCATACTGTTAAAATGAGTGTAATAGATACCAGTCACACTTTGAGCGCAAGTCTCTAGGGCTTGAACTCAAAAAGACATAAGAAATACAGATGCAAATATCTGAGAATTCACTACAGATCGCATTTTTTTCTTGCTGACTTCTGTGCTTCCCAAGTATGGATAAATTATAGTTTAGAAAAATACTGAATTTAGAATAGAGAATCAAAACAAGCAAAATAAATCTTCTACTGTTAAGGCCACATGAAGAGAAGTTATGTCTTCACAAGTGAAAATTACAGGCACTGTGGAACTGAATTGGTATGGTTCTGGTTGGCCACATGATATTCCTGGCCTCTGGTGTCCATAGGAGACATAACACCAAGATCGAACACAGCAGGATCTCAAGTTGCTGTCTCCTGATAGTGATTGTGGTCGTAAATTTCAGTGGGCTCTGACCAGGGGTCATAGTCATGCATACCAACTAGCTGCTCTAGTACCAAGTTATTCTTTGGTTTTACTGGAGAATGTGTATTTGCCATTGTATTTGTCAGCTACTGCATGTCAAAGTTCAGCAGATATGAGCATTCTGGCCTGAAGTCAGGTGAGGGCATGTAGAATTGAGTATGAGTGGGTCTGTGCTATCACCAGATGTTCAAAATCATGGATTGCTGTGTAGGAGATTAAGTATGCCTAGGAAATTATTAATGGTGCTTGGTTGCAATTGCCCAGTGATAGGTTCTGTGCCAAGTTTAAACAAGACTGTTTAAAGACATGGAGTACAAGATTTCAAATTTACCTAATCAAAGCAGTGGCAGGTTCTAAGAGTCTGGTCAAGAGTATTGAAAACTATAATTTGTCACTTTTTTGGATGCACATTCAGATTTAGGGCACTTGAATTCATGATCAGAAGTGTCCTGAGCAGACTAAACACAAGTTTCAAGAAGGACTGAGTGTAATTAGGCTTTGAATATATCCAGAGCCTGACAATGTCCCTGGTGGACTATTGAGAGTCAGTGTGTGGGTGTCACTGTTGACTAAAGTGGCATCAAAGGCCTTAGTCATGTATCATTATTTATGGTGCTAAATGACAGAATAGCAGTTATGGGCTCCTCTTGCTAATAGGCTGTGTTTGGAACACTTTCTAAGAGGCAATTAATTGTGGTTGGAAGGATCTGAGTCTTCCTGGCTAGGTAAAATAATATAGCACTGTTTTCTGTTTTCACTGTCATTGGTTAGAAATGCATGGAACTCACCTAGAAATATTGACATCAGGATACGATCCAAAGAATAAAAATGTACTTCCTTCTTCTGTCTTACTTCACTTAACATGATATAGTCCAATTTCATCAAAATTTCAGCAAATTGCCTGACAAAACTATGATAATGTAATTTATCTACAGTATATAAAATAACTGAATGATGGAATTCAAGGTTTAATTGTGGGAATAATTCAATTATTCTTGATTTCAAATTATAGGAAAGATAAGGACAGAGAGAAAGAAACTGAGTAGGTTAGCAAGAAGAAGCAGAGAGATGGGCTCAGGGATCACGGGCCTTGGGCACAGGAGTAGAGGTGTTCAAGCTATATATCCAAACTCTGAAGGTAGCAACACTGAAAACTGGAGGTAAAAATTACAACTTTCAAACTTTAAAAAGTACCTGTCAAAGAGGTAGTTTGAAGGTGGTTTGAAGTGGTGGGAGGGAACTTGATGGAGGAAAGTTGACAATGGTGGTGAGATTGGTGCTGAAATAGAGTGTGCTTTAAGTACAGCTATGAGTAACTTTGTCAATCACTGTATCCTAATAAAATAATATTTTAATAAAAAATAAGAGACATCAAAATGGGATTTCCCTTCAAGAGTAAGTGACCAAGGATCGGATGCCTGCTGTTGATTCTGAACAAAGCATAAAGCTTGTAACCTTTTCTTTACAAACTATTATAAAAATAGTATTGTAGAGTTGGGAAGCCGGGAGATAAGTGAATCATCTCTCCTGCTTCTCAGGGTAGTAGCCAGTACTTGAAAGACTTTTTGGATTTAAGCTTCCACATCACCTCACCCCTCACCCCTGCCCAGGTTTCTGTTCCATTCTATTCTTCACCGTGTTGTTCTGTGGCGGTTTTCTCCCATGGCAAGAAACTCTGTACATTTCCATTCTTATCTGGTGAACTCCTGAATTACAGGATTTCCTGAATGACAGGATTGACAGATAAGACCTTGTGATAAATCCAAGTTATTTGTATAAATTTTGCAATGGTAATGGGAGAATACTGACAAAGTGACTGTCTATTTGGACAACTCAGCCTCACCTTTGTTTATTTGATCTTTAAGTTCTGGAAAATGTTGGCTACATAATCATTTGATTCTTTTCCTTAAGATTAGGTTGATTAGTCCTAATAAGGATTAATATCTCTTTTATTATCTTACATTCTTTCTAGTTTGTATGCCTGTTTTTTTCTGATTTTGTGACTTTTTTCCTTTATCCTCCCAGGAATAATTATATTTTTATAATCAGTAATCTAATAGATTGGTATTAGTTTCTTCATGACTCATGATCATACTTTAAGAACATTGTAGGTTTGATATTCTAAAGGGAGTATTAGCTAGTTTATTTTTGTTATTGTTTTGTTTTGGGGGCCATACATGAAAATGTTCAGGAGTTTCTCCTAACTCTGCATTTAGGAATTACTTCTGGCAAGGCTTGGGGGAACATAGGGGATCCTGTAGATAGAACCAGGGAGGGAGGGAGGAAAAAAAGAAGGAAGGAAGAAGGAAGGAAGGGAAGAAGGAAGGAAGGAAGGAAGGAAGGAAGGAAGGAAGGAAGGAAGGAAGGAAGGAAGGAAGAGAGGGAGGGAGGGAGGGAGGGAGGAAGGAAGGAAGGAAGGAAGGAAGGAAGGAAGGAAGGAAGGAAGGAAGGAAGGAAGGATGAGGGAGGAAGATAAAATGGAAGGAAGATCATCACTTTGTGAACTTTCTCTATGATGGTTATACACTCAGTCAAGGTCTGATTACTTTTAATGGATCTGATATCCTAACACCATTATCTTAGTGGTTAAGGCTTCAATATTATTTTGGATGGTGTAGACTCAATTGATAATTTTTTGGGGGCGCGGGGTATGTGTCTGTAAATGACTAGTGCTCAGGAGTCATTCTGGTGGTGCTCAGACTACTCTGTGGTATCAGGTATTGAGTGAAGGTTCCTAAATGTAAGGCTGATCTCAGTCTTTTGAACTTTTTCTCTTCTCCAGTGTCCCTTAGTTTTTAATTTTTCCTTTGTTTACAACTTATGGATCCAAATTGGAAATCATAAATAGATGCTTTGTAGATCAGATTCTAACTTTCTGTAAAGAAAGATTAAGGAAAATGCAAGGAATATTTCTCATACAGACTTTTATTGTTCTACTAGAATTTAATATGTAAATAGTTTGATTAAGTAAAATAAAGTAAAGTAAAGGCCCTCCCGTTGATCATCGATTTGCTCGAGCGGGCCCAGTAACGTCTCCATTGGAGACATTGTTGTTACTGTGTCTGGCATATCGAATACGTCACAGGGAGCTTGCCAGGCTCTGCCGTGCGGGCGAGATACTCTCGGTAGCTTGCCGGGCTCTCTGAGAGGGGCGGAGGAATTGAACTCGGGTAGGCCATGTTGGCTGCATTCAAGACAAACGCCCTACCGCTGTGATGTGAGGGCGATCTGGCTGCGACATCTGTCACCCCATTGATCGCCAGGGTTGATTCGGCTGATCTGGCTGGCTAGGCGGGTGTCCCCTTCCTCCCTCACCGCTCCATGTGCGTCCCTCCCGAAGCTGCGCGCTCGGTCGAAGAGGACCGCCTTCCCCGATAGAGACGGACCCGTCTTCGGTCTAGCGCTCCCCTGCTAGAACCTGCTAGAACCTCCAAACAAGCTCTCAAGTTTGATTAAAATATACGCAAATGAGATGCTTACAGCAAAATGTACATAGATAATGTACATAGATAATGTACATAGATAATGGCTCTGCTAGGTTATGGCTTTGTTATGATATAACTTTTTATGTTGAAACACTTTTACAGAGTGGTCAATAGAAAAGATAAGATACATAATATATGTTTTGTATTTTGAATAAAAACAAAAAACTCTAACAACAATATATACATGTTTTTGCATGAGGATAATAATGGAATCTGATTAATGATGCAAAAATGAAATGGGGTTGTAGATATAATTGACTCAGTGCTAACAACAAAAATGTGATTAGCAAAATGAATGAATAAGACCATCAAGAATATACTGAGTGCTAATATTCAGTACT